TTCTTCCTTCTTCCTTCCTTTTCTTCTTTCTTCTTCTTCTTCCTCCTTCTTCCTTCTTCTCCTTCTTCCTCTTCCCCCACCATGCAAATCAGGACTCAAAACTTCTTAACTGACTTTCCCTTTAGAAGAAACCTTCCTGACTCCCATTTCCCTCCATCCTCAACAACCAAGTGGCAAAGAAAGCAACTGAGAAAGAAGGAGAGAGGAATAACCTCTACTAAATCCCTGGAACAAGCTTTAGGACCTTAACTTAATTTCCAGTTAGACCCAAGGAAGTAAATGGAGCGGGGGGGGGGGGGGGGGGGGGGGGGTTAGGTAGGACAGAGACCAAAAGTCTAGATCCCCACAGTAGGACACCCCCTCAAAACCTTCTCGGCCGGGGAAAGAGAACTAGAGGCAAAACCAGCGCTCCCAGCTTCCCCAGCAACTCCGGAGATAAGGTGCGGCTGCAGATCTTTCCGTTCCCGAGAAACAGCTCCTCCCGTACCACCGTCACCACAGCTCGACGCCCCCCTGTGAGAAGCAGGGAGGATTTGGAAGGGGAAGCAGAGGCGCAAGGAATGGGGGAGAGAGAAAACAACGCACTTACGCATCTCGCCAGGGATCCATTTGGGAAGATGTACCTTCCCAAACCGCAGCCCGAGACGTCGTAATCGCACTAACTGCCTTGGTCCCTCTGTCCCAGCGTTAAACAGCTCTAGCAGCTGCGATGGCAGACAGTTAAGATTATATATGATGTAAATATATTGTGGGTATGTCAGCTCCCCCAAACCATAAAACTTAGTTTAATGACATCACGTGCTCCGCGAGAGCCATTCAGGACTTTCGCTTTGGGCAATCCACATAAATAACCTTCAAAAGTTTTAAACTGCTAAATTCAGTCAGAAGCCATTGGTATTTCTGCTAATGTTCTCAGGGAAAGTAAAAGCTTTGGCTGCAAAAAAAGAACCCCGGATTATTATTGTCCTTGTTATTCCCACTCCCAAACCCCCCACCCCCCAAAAGCTCACCGGCACACAGGGACAGATTTGAAACTTGGTGCCTGTCATTTCTCTTCCCCTCCCCCCAACCTTTCCCTTTCTTGTTTGGAGGCTTTTTAAAAGTTCCCACTGTGTTGACATGGATGACTATGAAAGGTAAGCGATGTTTCATTTCCTTCTCGGCTTTTCAAGAGTTCTTTAGGAAAAGGGGGCTGAGTGAAAAGCGGGCAGAAATTGAGCGGTGGGTGGGTGGGTGGGTGGGGGGAAGAGGAGGTCTTGCACAGCAAAAGTCAACGACAAGCCCGACCACCAAATATTAATCAGTCCTGAAAAATTACTTTTTAAAAAGACAGGAAAGTGGCCAAAATAGACCCACGTTGTACGCTGGATAAACGAATAATTAATCATAAGGCAGTGTATCTCCCCGGCTGGTTCGTAATGGAAAAGTTGGAGCTGGTGTTGTGGGCTTGCAAATTCTCCCTCTCCCCCATTCTCCTTACGATAAAACAAAAGTACATCGGATTTTGTTAACCCTAACTTGTCAAGTTCAGTTATTCCTTGGCACATTTCCGACCAAACGAAAAGGAGGTGCCTTGGTTTGTGGAGTTGAAGGGAGGGAATTCAAGACAAACCAGAATAAATGAGACAAGATGTAAAACAGCAAACCTTGGCTTAAGGTTAGAGAACAGTTATCCAAACATGTCTACATTTCTCCAATGCCTTAATAAACACCCCCTTCGGATTACATAGCAGAGTTTATGTTTTTTCAAACATCTACACTCTCTCCTCCCCCTCCCCCTCCCTTGTAGGCATTTTTTTTTTTTAAACAAAACGGCTCCTGTTTGGAAATTTCATATCCTTTACAAGGCGTCACAAATGAAAAAAATTGGGGGGGGGGGGGGGGAAACCAAGCACTTTTGATCTGTGTTTGCAAAATGTGACTGTTGGTGGCAGAAAACCCAAATGAAATCAAGCTACCAATAGTGTAAATGCCAGAAAGGAGGAAGGGGGAAAAATGGTTTTCAGGTAGACAGAAAATTGCAAATAAAACAATTGCCATTGCCTTAGTCACCTTATTATTTTATCTTGTCAATAATAAAAAGACAATGCTAAAAATACCAATGAACTTAGAGGAACACAACAGATATTTGGAGGTCAGAGACAGAAAGCTATGGGTTTTAGGAATATCTTCCAAAGCTCCCACCGTCCTGAAAAGTAACTTTTGCTTCAGGGTTCAGGAAATTGCTCTCTTGTTTGAGATGGCGTAGAGGAAAACAGTACAAAGGTTTATTACTGTGCTACTGAGATCATTCCCAGGAATTCCCAAGCATGCATTTCTACTGTAAACAGCCCCAAAGACATGCCAGGCATGAGCGCTAGTTTGGGTGGGCTTGTGTGTGTGTTTGAGAGAGGATTTGACAATTGCATTCCCCAGACTCACATCGATACATGCAATTCAATAAAAACACATATATGGATCTACATAGATACACATGAAACATCTATGCACAGAGTTCTGCCTCCCACACTTCCAGAGGCCTGCATCGGTCCTAGTCAAATCAAACTTCCATCTAACTGGGTCCAGTAATACCACCAATAGGCAAACCAAATAAACAAACCCAAAATATAGATGCATGTGAACATATGTATATGCAAGTTTCATATTGCATATTCTGGATACCTTTTAGCTTACACCTAGCACATAGAAATGTCCCCTTTGTTCTTTAACCCTTTTAACCCATGTTCCTTGAGAGTAAAGTAAAAAAAAACCTGTCATTCTTATTTCGACTTGTTTTAATAACCACACACACTCAGAAAGTTCAGATATTGTCACCAATAGCCCAGTTTCTTTCTGCACTGGTTTCACTGGAACACCATGGGAAGTTAACTGTGGAGCAGTGGGAAAGAAGGAACTTTTCTTCCAGTTGAGTTGGAGAGGAGGGAAACAGTATTATGGTCAAATTCTTTAGAAATGTGACCTTGTTTGGACTATTGTTATAAGGTGCAATGGAAAGAAAACGCTAAGAAATGATGGAGACAAGTTTTGAAGACACCAACTATGCTGTGTAAATAGGAAAAGTTAAAACTTCTCAGGCTATCCAAGAAAAGAGCAAATACTTTTCCTTCAGGGAGGGAAGGGAGTGAATTGATCATCTGCAATTTATTTTACCCCAAATTATTCTGTAATAATAATAAATAATAATAGCAGTAGTAATAGTAGGAGCTGGAAGTAGATAAGAGCTCATTTTGAAGCAATATTAATTGGCTCTTAAACTGATTTCTATTGCATTTCCATTTTTGTTCTTAGGACAGAGATCTAAAGTTCCACTGATCTGACCAGGCCTTTCAATCTAAAACTCAGGGACCCAATTAATTGAAAAGTGGAGTGCCCTGAATTATCCTAGATTTCAATGAAAGCAATTGAAACTCAGCCCTTTCACAGAAAATAATTTGGTGTGCTAAAATGAACGCACCTTGTCTCAAATTTGATGTCCTTAGTGCCATAACAAAAATAATATTTTTTAAAAAAAAAAATCAAATGAAGGAACTAAGAAAATATTAGTCTTGGTGTTGGGCAGTGCTCAAGAAAAAAAATGTTTCATGATTTCCTTCATCTCCACCCACTCCAAACGTGGCCTTAATTGTTTCTTTACCGTTTATTTTGGTGAATATATGTATCTATGAATATTCATATATTCATTCATTCCATTCATTCATTCCACGGGCTTTCACATATGATATTACAATCAATAAATATACTATAGGTATTACAACAGCAGGGAGAAGGAAGGGGGAAGAGACTAAATGGACTATATGTAAACAAAGTGTAATTTGGATAAGGATTGTATATATATGTACATACTACATTAATTACACAACAAATAAATACACGGGAATATTTAAGCCAAGTGAATTCACACACTTTTCCACTAATCCTCCGATTCCATTCCCCCACAGTGCTTTACTATTTTGCACGAGTATTTCCCAGGAGAGATGCGGAAACAGTGTTGCTCTAGTCCCTTTCACTTTCTTTCATAGGCCAATAATACAAAAATAAGTAAATGGGGAAGAAATAGGATAATTACAGAAAAACATCCCCAGCACGGAACAACACATCCTTGGAGCAAACAGATTTCCCAAGGTTTTTTTTTTTTTCCTTTTTCTTTCCCCACCCCGGTTAAGAGCATCTAGGAAACGACTTCGGGGGGGGGGGGGGGGCAAATTTTCATTCCACGCGCGCGAGACGTCAAATATCGTCTCGAGACCACTAAAGCTCGCGCTTGCCCGATCCTAGGAGGCAAGTTTACTCGGGAGGCGGCGGCCCAAGGCCCGGCGGTAGGACTGGAGCCGCGAAGAAGAAGTGCTCTCATATCGCGTGGTCGCTTCGGGCGCAAAATCCGACTTGGACGCAAAGTATTATTAGTTAGGCATTTCAAGAGACCTCAACTTTCCAAGTCTTGCAGTGGATAGAAAGCCGAGGCCTAGGACTTTCGGGAAATTGAAAAAGAAAAAAAGAAAAAGAAAGAAAAGAAAGAAAAAGTAGCGAAGGTCGCACTCACCCCTCTTATGCATAACTTGAGCTTCCCTTTTATTTTTTTAATTATTATTATTTTTCCCTAAAGGGTGTCCTTGCTTAGAGGTTAGCACTAGGGAAAAGGCGTCCCTAGGCTGGAGGGCGAACTTCGAGAAGGAGCAAGGCATTTCCTCCCCAGATCAGCGGGATCCAGGTTAGAGAGCACGGGGCCCCGGTGGCAACTCCAAAAGGCTTAACCCTGAATTCTTGTTGGAAGCTTAAAGACCCGGTCTGTTTGCATACTAATCAGAGGAGGCCTTTGTCTGCCAGATTTGCAAGGGTACGAGGTAGTCTGTCCCAGGCTGCTACCCTCCCTCCGCCCTTCCTTTCTGCCTTCCCACCTCCCAAAGTGGGGGGGTGGAAAGTTTTTCTCCAAGGTACAACAACGGCCCTCATCCAGACGTGCTTGATTTTTCCCCTTCCCCACCCCACCCCGGCCTTTCTACCTAGACAGACTCCTTGCTTTTCAGTTTGGAGTCTTTCTTCCATTTCATCCTCCGATTTTGAAACCAGATTTTGATCTGCCTCTCATTCAAACACAGGTTGTTGGCGATCTCTATGCGCCTCCGACGGGTGAGATAGCGGTTAAAGTGGAATTCTTTTTCTAGCTCCAGAGTCTGATAGCGAGTGTAGCTGGTCCTAGAACGTTTGCCATCTGCTTCTGGAAAAGAACAGACATCGCATAAGGACGAGGGGAAAAAAAAAAAAGAGTCACGTTAAATAAGCAGGGGCAGAAATGCCCAGGAAGGGAGAAACCAAATGTGCCAAAAGAAAGCAAGAGGAAGGGGACGGGGTGCCGAGGTGGGAAGGAGGTTTGGTTGGTTCTCTCTCGCTCTCGCTCTCGCTCTCACCCACCCCCGCAAAAAAAACCCTTTTAGTATATTTACTAGTTAAATCGAGGGTTCCGATTGTCCCTACTTTTATCAAAGCTTTGGATTCCGGTTCAAGCAAGTCAGGCAGGGGGGCTCACCATTTAAAACCCGAGAAAGTGGCGCTAAAGTGTGGGAATTAAATCCAGGGCTGCCTTTCCTTCGAAAGAAGAGAAAGTTGTAGGTTATGGGACGTGCAGAAGGTTCTTGGGGGGGTGGGGGATGGGGGGGGACATGCTAATTAACCATACGCTCATTTTCTTCCCCAGGAAGAGTGCGCTCGAATTCAAGTTATTTCTTCCCCTTAAAATCTTTCTTCCTCCCTACTTCCTTTTCGGCCCCCCCCCCCCCCCGGAATATTGCCTTTATCCCCGTTTTGTTTCTATGATCCAATTATGCCGTCATAAATTTGGGCGTATATAGCCTCTAAGCCTTTTAGTGGACAGTTTTACGAGCAATTGATGCCTTAGTCGTAAAATTTACGACCCCGGTTTTTTTTCCCCCCTTGTTATTTGCCCCGTATGGCCTATAAAAACCAAGGCAAACCCTGTGAAACAAAATCGAGAAGCGAAAGTTTACCGTGGCTCATGTGTAGTTTGGTCATCCACGGATAGATTTGTGGTGGCTGCTGCGGCGACTGCTGAACAGGCTGGCCGCTGGGCTGGGCTGCTTGCACCGGTTCACTCTTGATTTCCCCACTGGTTTTAGATCTATCTTCCAACGGCGTGGGGTCGTTGGTGCCACCAGCCTTCTGACTGTAAATTCCTGGGTTTAGAGGAGCCTGGTCGTCTCTGCCTAAAGTGTGCCCTGAAGATCCCATGACAGTACAGGAAGGCCGGTCGGGGTTAGATCTGGGGGTTGAAGACACGTCCACACCGTTCAGAGAGTTGGAAGCCCCAGATGGAGGGAATGTGATGCTCAGATCGAGCCCAGTGTAGCAGCACCTGGAGGGCTGAACCTCAGGCAATGATCCATAATTCCCATAACTTTGCATGGAATACGCAGGAACATTTTGATTTTGCTTATAGAAGGAATTGGCTACGTAGGAACTCATGTCAGGAATTATATTCCCCCCCCACCCACCCACCCAGCTTCTCTCTCTCTCCCTCTCTCTCTCTCTCTCTCTTACACCCCTTTGATTAGACTTGATTTGTGGCCCTTTTGAAGTTCAGGGTTTTTTGTTCTCCAAAGTGCAGAATTTATAGGTGGGGATTCTTCTTTTCTTTATTCTATGTGCGCTGCCCAAATATGGGATGTTTAAAGAGAATCACGTGACGGTGTTGGCCAGTCATAAATTTGGCTTGATGACCCCAGGAGGTTATTGATGGAAGCCCGTGCAACGTATGTGATATGTTGGCATAACGAAGCCCTGGGAAAGGGTGGGGGGGAGAAAGGCCCCACACTCAAAACACCGAGACAATGAGTCTAGAGCGTCACCTGGTGCTAAGTTCGGGGTATGACGTCTGATTCGAATTCTACCCCCTGTTCGAACCTTCGAGGCTTTGAAGGGTGTGAAACAACACGGAAACAAATCCTCTATAAAGTCTTCGAGGGGGTCGAGAAGGCAAGCGCGAGTTTTCCACCCCGGCGAGGCCTTGGGGAAAGGTTGCCTTTGATTCAGACCGATGAGTAGGGTTGGCTTTGTAAAATACGACCGTGCGATTCTCCTCAGCCTGTTTCCTTGGGTGTGCCACCACCAGGCTCTCTGGTGGTGGTGGTGTTTCTGACTATGTTGCCCAGGCTGTGTGTGCCAGCGGTGTGAAGGATTGGGGTTGCTTGCCTTGCCAGACCTTCTTTGCCTCAGTGCCAGGCACCTGAGCGCAAAGGGCAGGCTGGTTCCGCGTTCTCCAGGATTCTGGAAGTATCCAAGAATCCCTAATCCCCAGATCTATGTGGCAGGCAAGAAACTCAGCATCTTCCTGGGGGCATTTTCCCCCAATCCCAGGTACAGATCCGGGCATCCAGCTATCCGCCTCGTGGACACTGGTGCCTCTTTCCAAAGTCCTGAGAACCCGGCTCTTCTTCTGCCCAGGGGTCAAACAAGAGCCCTTGGAACTGTAAACCCTATTGCGCTAAATTCGTCTCCCCTCCTTTTTTTAAAAAAAAATCCGCCTCTGAAGATTTCAGTCAAGGGTATCTTTCCGAGTGGGGAGGACTTTGTGCGGGTCTGCGTAAAGCTTCCTTTGAGGTGGCAAGAAACGCGTGGCCTCGCCATAAATCCTCCTGTGTGGGGTTCGCTTTGTTTTTCCGATGTTCTTCCGATGCCTGCAGGGAAACCGGCCGTGGGAGAATTGTCTGTGTATCTGTGCCTGTGCCCTATAGGTAAAGGGATGCGCCATCCTTTCCTTTCCCTCCTCCTAAACTGCCATGCCTCCTCCGAGGAGTTCTCTTGAAAAATAAAGTCCGCTTTTCCTGGCTACCCAGAGAAGATGTTGGGGTACCTTTTTTCCCTTTATTAGACCTCGCCTTAAATTTGTTTGGTTTGTTTAGGGTGGAGTTACAAAGAACTCATTTACCCTCCGCCTGAAGTGGCCTCTAAGTTCTTCCCACCCTTCTTTATGATGGGGGGAAAGCACCCATTTTATCTTTATTTTATTGGGGGGGGGTCATCTTTCACTCCTTAATAAGGTAGCTTACTTAATTGTTTGTTGTTCGCATTAAGGAACAATCGGTAAAGAAAACCCTGGAAAGTTTTGGCTCAAGTTTCTGAAATGATGTTGAGTCTATTCCTCGCCTCCCCAGGACATGTGCGAGACTTGGCTTTTTTTAAAAAACAACAACGAGGAAATCTCAACTCGGGGGAGTTTTTTGAGGCTCCTTGGGATGATTTGACAAAGGGATGGACTCCAGTCTCCCTTGGGTTCAGACAAACGGAGGTGGGCGAAATCAATTTAATGGTGGAGTGTCAGGAGTAGTTGTGGTCTTTTTTTTTTTAATTATTAAACTGGGACCTGGTGATTGAATAGAACACGTGAAAGAGTAGCTAAGCTACCCAGACACCCAGAGGCCAGAACTTCACACTCAGACATTTGTATTTGGGACAAGAATGCCTCCGACCTAAACCCGAGCCACTGTGGAGCCCTCCGCCACAAAGCTAGCTCCATGGCTGTGTGGCAGTTATCAGAGACTTTGTCTATTACACACTTTCTGAACTTTTCTTCCCTTCCCCCTCCTCGATAATTCCTGCCCACCTGTTCTTAACCTCAAAATAAATTTAGACAAGGATGCGGGGAGATTCCTTTGTTCGTTGGCCTTTCCCTTTGGCGAAGAAATTGGTGCTTTTGTGCTTAAACTGGCCTTGAGAAAACACGCAATTTTTTTTTTTTTTTTAAAGTTGGAATTGTGGGCCTAGGAATTTGTCAACCTGGAATGAAATTTCTTATGCCTACCTATATCTGTGCCCGAACATATCGGTGGTTATGCAAGAGGGGAGAGAGAGAAAGAGAGAGAGAGAGGTGTTAAAGTCATCCTCAGCCTACTTAATAGGAAATAATTTATTTCCGCCTATCAGCTGCCTTGCTGGGGAAATTAAACGGGGTTCGATCACGCTAGGGAAAGGAAAGAACGCGGTGAGTCGATTTGCAAAACGCTTCGGCACGGAATTGTCCCCCATGGAGCGTCGAAAATATATATATATATTCCAGGAATTTTTAAAAATAATATCCAGTTTTTATTAAATACTCAACCATAGTCCTTTGGACATGACTTTTTTTTTTTTTTTATACATGATGCTAGGAAGCCTAACACAAGGTCTGTTTTTCTCCTACTCGCTATAGAATGCCATTCACTTTACCGTTTGACCATTACAGTGCTAAACATAAATATAAATACAGAGACCACAAATACAGCTAAAAATATTCACACAGGAACCGTCACAGTTTGTCGTATGCATCATGACTTCAGGTAGTGTTTTCAATACAATGAGTTTACTCTGGAAAGAAAGCGCTATATTTAGGCGGACTTCGAGATGGGTATATGGAGGGAAGTTATTTTCATAGGGCCTAGGAGGGTCGGTGAAGAACCGTGTTACGTTTTCTTTTCTTTTCTTTCTTTCTTTTTTTTTTAACCCAGCTTCTTTCCCACGAATCCACATCGCCACCAGCAGCCGTTCCTTCTCTCTCTTTTTTTCTTTATTTGTTAGGAAGGTGAAACTGCCATTCGTTCTTTTGGACCTTGCGTGGTCGAACTCGGCACTATCCGAAGGCAGCTCCTAACGCGGAACCCTTCTTCCTTTGGCAAGCGAGATTCTGGGTAGGGAGGGCGAAGAAGGAATGGCGGGGCGGGGGGGGGGGAGTTTCTCTCACTCGTGCCTGGCTCTCTCTCTCCCTCCCTCTGTATGTGGTTGTTTGTGTGTGTGTGAGTGTGTCTTTGTGTGTGTGAGTGTGCGCGCACTTTAGGAAAACCCGGGTCACCGGGCAAGGAAGAGGCCAGGAACGAGAGGGGAACAGGAACCTCTCAAGAGGAGGAAAAAGTCAAGGAGATTTGGGAGTCGCGGGTCTGGAACCTGAGCGCTGGAAACAGAAGATGGAGGAAGGGGGTTTCTATCTCCACCCCCCCCCCCACCCCTTTTAATTTAACCCAATGTAGCGTTGGTGCCTGCAGTTAATGAGAAGGGAAAGGAAGGCAGGAGAAAGCCCGGGTGGGCTCCGTGATGTGCTCGTGGGTGAGACCGGAGGGGAGGGAAAGAAAATTGCCTTCTAGACGTAGCCGTCCCTGTTCATTCCTTCGGTTTTTCCGCCTGCGTCTCTTCTTCTTCTTCTTCTTCTCTTTTCTCTTGCTTCGCCCCCAAGCTCTCGGCGGCTTCCCCGACGACACCTCCTCCCCCGGGTAGAGTGGAAGTCAGGTTGCTCTCTTTTTTCCATTTCATCCTGCGGTTTTGGAACCAGATCTTGATCTGGCGTTCCGTGAGGCACAGCGCGTTGGCGATCTCAATCCGCCGCCGCCGCGTCAAGTAGCGGTTAAAATGAAACTCCTTCTCCAGTTCCAGCGTCTGGTAGCGCGAGTAGATCTGACGCCCCCGCCTCCGATCTGCTCCGTAACCGACTCCTAGGGATTCGGAAACCAAACAAACTAAGAACGATTAGCTACGGCTTCGGCCAACAACAGGTCTCTAAGTCCACAGAAAATAAATAAAAACACAAGTAACATTGAAAACAACCCCCCCCCCCATAACCCTGAAAGGGAGTCGTCTTAACAACCCCACCTTCCGAGGACCCCCGTCTTCACCGTATCCCCACCCATTCCAATTTAATTCTGCTCCTGAAAGCTGGCTATTCATTAAAATTTTCAGCACACATGGAGGGAGACAGAACAAGAAGAAGGGAAGCTTCTAATTGAAAGCATGCTCCGCTCTTATTTGCAAAGATTCCGAATGTTTTGTTTTAATTATTTCGGCAATCTTAAAAAGCCAAAAAAAAAAAATAAATCTAATTAGATCTTACTCCAATGCTGCTTTAATTACTAGGAATAGACGCTCCTTCCATACGTTCTGAAGTCAAGCTACTTCATAAAACCCCATCTCTCAAATCTATTACATTGGACAATACATTTTGCATCTCCCCCTCTCCCCCTCCCACCGCCCAAAAATGCCAATTCTCACCTATCAGGGAAACTTCAATTAAAAAAAAAAAATGCCCCGGTTCTATTTTCTACACTTATTTCCCCCCAAATCTCCACTACTGGGAGTGTTGGGGGGGATGGGGATGGAATCAGAGCTGATTGCACTTTATTATGGATATTTTACACTCCCAAAGTCTTTTAATTAGAAAGAGCATAACAAGCCATATTTGCTTGCAACAACTTAACAAATAAAAGGCCTGTAGCGGCAACTGTGAGGAAGCTATATGATTGTTTTTATGGGGCCATAAAAAGTAGCTGAGCCTGTTCTGCTGGGGAGACGGCCATAAAGATGGTTGAGTTTATTTAATTTATCTCTGCAAGCTGTAAAACTTACCACTGTGGGAGTTCATGCGCTGCATCCACGGGTATATTTGAATGCTAGCTTTCTGTTCCTGGGACGTGCTCCTGTTTTGGTCACTTGCAAAATCCTGTGCAATAGAAGTTTGTGTATTGTGTCCCATAGAATTTTGCCTGCAGCTAGAGAGCATATCCTTTTCTTGATAAAAGGCATTCGATCCGTAATCATATGGTCCCCGACTGGAGCTAAACACAACATTATCTTGCGGTGAATAAAAAGGAGATGAATAGATCCTGTTTTGAGCGACCGCTGCTCCATAAGTTGAAAAATGCCTTACAGGGTCATAGGCAGTGGAATTGAGCTGCACGCTGGGCAGGACCTCTTGACCACTGGTGAGGTGGCAAGAGAGCGACGGGTTTGTGAAATAGGAATTCATATCTTCCCCCCTTGTACCTGGCTTGTATGATTTCTTTAATATTTATTTCTGTCTCCAGTTTGTAGTCTGAACTAGATTGTTATAGGGACGGCTCCACTCCAGGACAGACAAAATGACAAAGTCAGCTGACCCTCCGTGAGCCAATAGAAAACTGGATGTCAAGACACGGAAAAATGGCTTTGCTTGTGTTGATTCCCCAGTTGAAACTAAGTATGCATTGAAAGTAAGTCTCGAAATTCTAAATATAAAGATGGTTTGGAAGAAGAAGGGGTGGGGGGGAAGAGTAAGTAGTACGGGGTGGGGGGGAAGGTGGGAGATGACTGAAGGAGGGGCAAAAAAGGATAAGGAGGGAAAAAAGGAAAGAAAATCATAGTGCAGGGAAAGCGTTGCCTTAAAAATGAAAGGAAAGGAAAGGAAAGGAAAGGAAAGGAAAGAAGGAAAGGAAAGGAAAGGAAAGGAAAGGAAAGGAAAGGAAAGGAAAGGAAAGGAAAGG